TTCCAGTTAAAAGAGGACATGGAAAATTACATTCTTTAATTGTGCAAATCGAGCCTTCTCTTCGTAAGCAGACATAACCTATTGCAGTGTATCGCCATAACTTTTTCGACTAGATCTATATGAAAACAATATTTATAATCAATCAGTCTTGTAAAATAATTTTTAATTAATATACGTGTACTATTTATTAATAGATATATATTTTATCTGTACTTACAAAAATGCTTTAACCAACCGGATCTCTGCTGCATTATATCTAGTATCGTTTTTAACAAATTCTGCCACCATAAATATATCTATTTTTGGTATATTGGTTAAATCAGCTTTTACAAAGCCTGGTTCAACCATTTTTACACCAATTATTAGCGTATTTTCTTAAATATAGATTATTATACTAACGTGTTCTCATAGCGCACTGAAGATGACATACATTATTTGACGTCATTACTCAATCGACTAATCATCGGCCGTTTTTACGTCACGTAAAAATTTGTAAAATTGAAACATTTTATTAATTAATTTTAATCATTTAACAATGTAAAAAATTCAAACTTTTAGTGTTTATATTGTTTAAATAACATATACATTTATTTAAAAAAATTATATATAGTTTGTTATTTTGTATACTTCCCTATTTGTATCGTGTAATTTTAATGGTGAAAGGTTAATGACAGTTTGTATCGTGTTAATTTAACGATGATAATATCGTGGTGTGAATATCTCTCTAAGGAGTAGATAATATGGTATTATTAAATGATAATATTGTTCAATATTATATATGTATATATATATATATTGTAACCGTTATTTTTGTTAGTCCGTCGAATCGAAAAAGATCCGGGAAATCGGGCCGATGTAAATGGCCGACGGCACACCTTCGGCGCGGAAAGCGGGAAATTCGCATAAACACGAAAAATATGTTTAATTGGGCGCCAGGCGCGAGATTCGCGCCACTCTGAAAATCTACAAATCGACAGATGACCTTTATAATCCGTAAATCATCCTGAAATTTTCCGCGACGGCGATAATCGACTCGCTCAGATCGTCAGGGGGTAGAGAGGGGAGTTCGGACGGGAGAGAGAACGGAATTCGAGAGAGGCTATTTGAAATCGCTCAAATGTAACAAGCATTTAATATATTTGAACAATGATGAACGAAGATAGACAGAAAAATAATTGTATAAAAGCTTGAGTAAAATTGTTAGGTCAAGAAAGAAAAATCAAGATTCTTTCGATATACTACGGAGTAAACTCCGTTTTAGTGACGCCGAAATACAAATAAGCGAGGCCGAAATTTGATTCGAACAATATAATGTAGCGTATTTACGGCCGAGACGCGGCGCGTTGTTATTGTTCCGCGCCTTTGAGACGACCCGACGCGGTGATATCGGACGGCACGCGGGACCCGGAAGTAACTTCGCGCGCCTACGTGTCGAATAATTATTAACGCACGAGACTTAATAAGGTCCGTGCGGCGAAATTAATTCTGATGGTTGTAGGCGATACAAAATCTCCGTAAACTGCAGTAGGTCCCGCGCGACTTCCTTTGCGACCGATCACTCCGGTCGTCCCTCGCAATATTTTACAAAGAATCAGAAAACTACGCGGATAATGATATGCGCGGGAAAGAATACGCTATTTCGGATGCGTGACTCTAGACAATTTTCTATTCTCAGATATAGAAACTCTAACAGACGAGAACGACACAATAATCACGAAACGATACTTTTGTTCTACATTAATGTGACGAAATCGCGGCGACTGTCGGCGTATCCGCGGGAGAGAGAGCCTCTCTTAATATACGCGCGGGAGAGAGCACGCGGTCGGCCGGGCGCCGGGATAAATTCTACGCGGAACGAAACTCTAAATCAAACCTCTCGAAATATCGCGAAATTACACCGGTGAATCTAATAACCGGCCGCGGCCGTGACACGCTTCTCTCCCGAATACGGTACTCACAAAAGAATTTAGCGGTTTTACAAGAGTATATAGGGCCGTTCGTCTCACCGGTATCAAGGGGTCCTCTGATGCTTCGGCATCCGCGCGCAGGAACCTCTACTCTCCAGAACGCTCCGCCGGACAGTGACGAGCAAGAGGCCTGCCGGGATCACGCCGATAATAAATGGGGCATTTTCCACCCGTGGCGCTCCTTATCCTGGCAGGGCCGCCGGGTACCCCGCGGGGCCCTGCGAATTTGCTTGATGCAAATTTTCTCTCGCCGTTCCTCTGTGCTTCCGCTTCGGGTTCCGTTCTTCCTCTTTATGTTCGTCGGGGAGACTCCTTTGAGCGCGCCTTTGTGCGGTTCCTCCAAAAATCCGCACGATCGATTGTTTGGTCGATGGTGAACTTTTGTGTATCCGGATCTGCGGAGGCTCGAGGCAGGATATCTCCCGCGCCTTTTGTTTCCGGGGCTCTCTCGCCTCTTGCGAGAGAGTGGCCATCCCCGTCTCTGGCCGGAATCTCTGCAAAAGAAGGAACATTTTACGGCGGTATCCAGGTTCTTAACGGGAGGAGCAATCCAGAAAATCTATGTGAAAATAATATTTACCGGGCGTGATCCGGACTTGGTGGTTTCTGCTCGGTCCTAAATCGTCCTCTTCGTCCTTTCTCTCTTTCTGTTTCTCCGGTTGAGACACGTACCCTATGCAAAATTGCTCGCCAAAAACGCAAAAATCGCTTAAACAAAAATCATAAATAAAGTAATTCGCGAAACGGGTGCGCGAAGCGCATCCTCCGACGCGGTAGAAAACGCAAAAATGATTTTTCGGGTGCTCTCTCTCTCTCAAAGATTGGCGAGAGAGCAAAAGTTCCCGAATTTCTCGCCTTCGGCCCTTGTGACGGACAGTAAAAAAATGTCACGTCACAATATATATATATATATATATATATATATGTATGTATGTGTGTATGTATGTATATGTATGCATATATAGAAAATGTTAATAAAAAAACTAACCTGTACATCCAGCCCTTCTTGAAGGAAACTCTACGTCTCGCAAGAGGCAAACGTTTGGCGTTATATGTTTGTCCCATGGTGTGGACAACACACAAACTCAATAACACACTAAAAAAAACTAACTATATATAATAAATATATAGTATGTAAAATTTGACAACGATACGTTGTATACGCTGCTTTGTTTTTACGCGTATGAACGTGTATAACACCGCGCGACGTGAGTGAGGCGTCGCGCAGTAGATCATATCAACGTATAAAGGTATCTTTTCATGCTGTCGCTCGACGCTCGTTTTCTGCAATGTGATGACGTCATGTAAGTCGCTAGCGACGTGAAATGTAGTTCGATTTTTCCAACTACAAGCGATATTAGCGAGCGATAAAGATTTGAATGGATATCGAAATGGTAAGTATAATAATATTGTTTGATGAATATAATAAACATGTACATATATATTATTATAAAAATATTATTATTAATATTAAGGGGATGCTGGAGCTGTGCAGAGACTTTTGTTGTACATAACCTTGAATATGAGCAAATTTGCTTCATGTAAAAATTCTACAGTTTGTTATGCGCAAAATAAGAGCCAGCGTATGCGAAGGTTGTACAAAATTTTAAGTACATTTTTCTTTTTTTCTAGGCTTTTAACCTTAGTTCCAATTGCACGATATTGTTCAGATATGTTGTCTCGCGCATACGCTGACTCTTATTTTGCACATAACACAAACTGTAGAATTTTTACATGAAGCAAATATTGCTCGTGTTCGAGATTATGTACGACAAAAGTCCCTGCACAACTCCAGCATCCCCTTAATTAAGGACATTATTATGTCTTTAACATTATAAGTAAACATAAATTGAGAAAGGTCAATTTCGAGCAACACTTTAACATATCTTGTTTTACATATAAATATAAATCTGTTATTTTTAATCATATAAGTTATGTCAGTAATAATATTTTATGTAACGTACGCAAAAAAACATTGAAGTAAATAAAATATTTGTTATATAAGATATTTTCTAAAATATTTTTTGTAGTCTCGTGTTCAAACGTGTGGATTATGTGAAATCATATGTAATGAGGACGAAGTACCCAGCCATGAGTGTCTTCAAGGATATTCTAATTTCATTACAGATAATAATTTGTACTTTTACCCTGTATTAGGTATTTTATATATATATATATATATATATATATATTTTACTTAAGTTAATTACAAAAATTATTAAATCTGACGTTTTTTTAATAATGTTTTTTTAGACGATGGAGAAACTATTGTTAGAAGAAGCTTGACACAGGACGCTGAAACAATAGCATCTGTACCTTTTCATGGTGATAATCAAGGTCAGATAAATGTAATAAATTCTTGAAGTTTTAAAACATTATAAATGAGAAGTTATACATATTATGTTTGTATGATATACATTTTATTTTTTGTTTCAGAGAATATTCGATCCATTAATAATAATAGAAATTTCAATCAAAAGAGCGCAAAGGAAAAACTGTCACTTGAGGAGGAGGAGATGCTAATATTAGAAGTCCAATGCAGAGAACCACTATGGAATTTTAGATTACCTCTCATTCAAAGAAATTGCAGAATTACAAGAGCTTTGTGGGAAGAAGTTTCTCAAACTTTTAATGGTTATATAAATGTCTATTATTTATAATATTAAAAAAATATGCTGAGTGTTTCGCGAGTTTTATCTCCGTGTGTAAGTTCATCCTTGGATACTATCCAAGCATCCATAGCATCCAAGGATGAACTTACACATGGAGATAACCCGCAAAACACTCAGCAAACTTGAAGATAGTACCCGTGGAAGCCTCAAGAATTTAAAAAAATATATTAAAACAGAATGTTTTTACAGGGAAATTAAGCGCAGCTGGATGTAAAAGCAAGTTCAAGAATTTTCACGACACTTATAGGAGACTTGTGAACGCTGAGAAACTACCAAGTGGATCTGCTTCCAAAAGCAACATGAGCAAATGGAAACATTATAAAAGTATGGAATTCCTTCGAGATAGTTGCTTACAAAAAGGTTAATAATGCATTTGTATGATTTCATTATTTTTAATACTAGAAAATTATTTTTGTATTAATTTTTTTATATAAAATAATAAATTTTATTTCTTTACAGTACGATTTCTAATATTAACGATGGAGACAGCAACAGTATTATCGAGAATGATAATGAATTAGATTGCCAAGATGCGAATATGTTAGAAGTTACTAATAATGAAGATAGTCAAGATACGAGTATATCAGGAAGTATTGAATAATTATCACAGTTTATTTTAAAATTTTGAAATTAGAAGAAAATGGTTTTTAAATTATTTTTTTTTTCAAGATCATGTAAGAAAGAGAAGGCGAGCAGAGTCACAAAACAGCTACTTAGAACGTATAGCAGACGCTTTATGCCAACCACCTCCTGACATTGTTCTTCCACCACCCCCTCAAGAAGACCATATAGATGCGTTCTTAAAACTGTTTGGTCATAACTTAAGAAAGTTATCGCCAGAAAAACAAAATGAATGGATGCAACGATATTTAAATATGTCTTACGAAATGTTAAAAGAAAACCAAAGATATTAATGAAATATTAACTTAAATATTAAATTAGCTTAACAAAAATTTTGTACTTTAAATTAAACTTAGTTTTTATTTAAATTATGGAGATAATAAAGCGTGAAATTATATTTTGTTTTATGTGTTAAATACAAAATTTATTAAAATGTTGAAATTACATACAAAATACAGTATAAACGTTATAAAATGAAATATTTATTCCTTTGTTTATCAACAGTGTTGAAATTGCCAAGGTATTGCTCCCTCGCTATTAAAGTATTCACAAAAGTCATCCCGAATTCTTGCAGCTTTCCGAGAACTGTTATTTGTACTACCTTCTTATATCTTAAAAAGCAGAATTAATGTCTATATTTCTCCTCCAAGAACCTTCTATTAAACCATCGCAACCATCTCGATCAACCATGTTTTCAGTGATATATTCATTGACTCCAATATCTTGTATACGAATATAATTATGAAGACACACAATAGCTTGTACTATTTTCATTGCTGTTTCAATTGAACAATTTATTGGTCTTCTTAAAATTCTCCATTGACTTGATAAAATGCCAAAAGCATTTTCAATGGTCCTCCTTGCTCGACTAAGACGATAATTGTAAATAATTTTGTCCTGATTCAAACCTTGTTTTTCTGGGAAAGGCCTCATTAAATACTCAGTAAGTGGAAAAGCTTCGTCTCCAACTAGCACGTAAGGCATAGAGTTTCCTTCGAAATAAAATGGTTTTGGATCAGGTACATTCATTTCATTGGTTCTGAATTTTTGGCCAAGAAAGGAGTCTCTAAATATTCCACCATCACTGCGACGTCCATAGGCTCCAATATCCACAAAAGTAAAAATATAGTTTGCATCACAAACAGCAAGCAAAACAAAACTGTGACTGTTTTTATAATTAAAATATGATGATCCTGCATTTTCAGGACACTGAAAAAAATAATATAGTGATTATTTTAAAAATAAAAGTCCTCTAAAAATAAAAATCTATTTTAAATTTTTCAGTAACTTACTTGAATAACAACATGTTTACCATCAATAGCTCCTATACAATGGTTAAAATTCCATACCTCTTCGAACTCTTTAGAAATATTTAACCATTTCTCTTTTGTTAAAGGATATGGAAGAACATGTTTAGAAAGAACAGACCACAATGCATCACAAGTTTCTGAAATAATATTGCTAACTGTGGTTAGTCCGAGGAGATATTGGTAGCTCATGGAAGTCATTGAATCACCAGAAGCAAGAAACCTATAAGAAATATTTATAATAAATATTTTAAATATAAATAACATATTCTAACTTTATTTTTTATTTATTGTGTTTTCAACTTACCTTAATGTCATGCATAATCTTTCACTGGCAGATATTGGTTCTCGAGTTAATACTTGTTTTGTGATTAAAGGTGCTACTTTGTATAATAACTCTTCAAGTTGAATTGAATTCATACGAAAGTAATTTCTAAATGTACTTATTTGCTGTGAAACTGTGGGTAAAATTGCATTATAAAATCCATGTTCGCGTCTCATTTGAAACAATGGATTAATCCAAAACTCTTTTCTAGTATAAGGTCGTTTCCTTTTTTCTATTAAATAAAAAATAACTGCCGATATCGCTAATCTTTTTCTCCTTTCTCTCATATTATGATTATTTATAATTTTTGCACACTCCGTTATCCAATTATATTTTTCTGATTGTGACATTGTGCGATTATATATATTTTGGAGCACCTGTATAGAATTCTTCAGCTGACGCTACTACATTAAAATCGCGTCGCTGGAAAACCCTTTTCATGTTTGATATTAATCGCTAGCGACAAATCCAGTCACGTGACTTTTTTATCGCTCAAAACGAGCGATGAGCGACGCATGAAAAGGTACCTTAATGCGCGCGGATTACTGTGGTACATACATACTACTGATACCGCGCGAATACGAAAGATCTGATGCGCATTTTTACGTACATAATAAATCGGAATATTTGATAAAAAAAATATATATATATATATGTGTATATATATATATATATATATATGTATATATATATATATTTTTTTTTTATCAAATATTCCGATTCATTATGTACGTAAAAATGCGCGTCAGATCTTTCGTATTCGCGCGGTATCAGTAGTATGTATGTACCACAGTAATCCGCGCGTATTATACGTTGATATGATCTACTGCGCGACGCCTCACTCACGTCGCCCGGTGCTATACACGTTCATACGCGTAACATACGTATATATATATATATATATATATATATATATATATATATATATATATACGTATGTTACGCGTATAGATACGTTAAGATCTGATGCGCATTTTTACGTACATAATAAATCGGAATATTTGATAAAAAAAATATATATAATATATATATATATATATATATATATATATATATATATACATACACAGGGTGTCCCAGAACTGGCGAAAAAACTTTTATATATATATATATATATATATGTATTTGTGGTTATATATATGTATATATATATATATATCAATCTATCTATTTAGGTATTTGTCTATTGAACTATTTATCGATCGATCTATCTATCTATCTATCTATCTATCTATCTGTGTGTCTCTGTTTCTCTGTCTCTCTGTCTCTTCTCTCTCAACATGCACACGTAAAAATAAAAATTTTGTATGATTATAATTGATTATAAAGTTTTAGTAGATAATTCTTTGTAATAAATAAAAATTATTTTTATGAAAATATTTTATAATATTATTATAATCGGAACAGAGCAATAGTTAGATAAGATATTGAAAGGAATAATTTTATTTGATTATATAGATATTGCATATATACAAGATGTTTTCGTAAAAGTGAATAATTTTTCATGGACATATAGAATCCGTTTTTAGACAAATATCTCGATGCGTTATAAAAAAAATTTTATAGGAACTTACAAGATTATTTTTATCTGTTTTATGTCTACTCGAGATAGCCTGCTTTTCTAGAAATTATAAATGTTTATTGTGCGCATATAGTAGACAAATATAAATAAATATATAAATTTTATATATACATATAAATACTCACAATATCTATATAATCAAAAATAAAATCTATCTCTTTCAATACAATCTTATCTAACTACTGCTCTATTCCGATAATGATAATATTATTATCTGCTCAATTTCGAAAATACTTTCATATAAATCATTTATTTATTACAAAGAATTATGTACTTTATAATCAATTATAATTATTACACTCTCTTTTTATATATATACAGGTGTCCTGCAACGTAATGTCCACAGTGAAACTTTATATTCTTGAGATCATTCTAAGTCAAAAAGTACACGTATGCCCTAAAGTTGATTACAGCGAAAAGACGAAATTGCATATAATAAGATAAATATTATTTATTGAAGATAATAATTTTATTTATTAAACGATAATATTATAGAATTACTTTATAAACTGTGCGATAATATAGATCATAAAGGTGTTTTTCTCGCACTTGTGCGGTAAAATAAGGCATACATTGAATCGTTGAGAAATTTATCTTTCGCACACTAAATAGCAATTGAAATTGGAACTTTCGTTACTGGTATTACAAAAAAAATTACATGTGTTATCATAGTAAAAAATGAATAATAAATAAATGTATAAATAATAAAAATTAATTTTTGTAATAATAATTAAAAATTATTTTTTAATTATTTACACATTTATTTATTATTTATTTTTTACTATGACAACGTATGTAATTATTTTTTGTAATGCCAGTCACGAAAATTCAAATTTCTATTGCTGTTTAGCGTGCGAAAGATGGCTTATTTTTCAACGATTCAATGTATGCCTTACTTCACCGCACAAATGCGAGAAAAACACCTTTATGATCTACATTATCGCACAGTTTATAAAGTAATTCTATAATATTATTGTTCAATAAATAAAATTATTATTTTTAATAAATAATATTTATCTTATATTATGCAATTTCGTCTTTTTGCTGTAATCAACTTTAGGGCATACGTGTCCTTTTTGACTTAGAATGATCCCAAGAATATCGGTTTATAAATTTGTTGATGCGTGGATGGTTGCGTGGGTGAGTGAATAGGGTGTTAAAAATTTTTTTAAATCATATATTGACCATCCTCGACAAAGGACCAGGCTCGATTTGGTCAATTTTCGGCCCACAACCGATTCAATTGATTTTCATTGGAATATCTTCTAGGGTCAGTAAAATATGAGAAAATATGATTTCCGATCGAAAAAATAACGTCACATGGAAGGGGGAGTGTCTAATGTATCAAAATGTTGATATCAACAGTCTATAAAAAATCGCGCTCTATATCGCGGGGAAAACGCCAGTATCGAAATCAAATCCACTTGTATGAGTCGTATGATCATTCTAGAGTTGTGCACAAACCATGTCGTATTGATTACCGGTACCTTAGTAATGCAACATTACCTTAAATGACGAAATTCATCGATTTTTGCATAATTTAACCGGATTCAAACGTAGGTTGAGGCAAATACAAGAAAGATTACATCTTGAAATTCGTATATAATTCGTGTGACAATGTCAGAAGTATGCTCGATTAATATAGCCTTGATTAAACTATGGGCCGGTAGTGCAACATGAGCTTGAGCGACGAAATTCCGTGATTTTTGTATGATTTAACCGGATTCAAATACAGCTTGAGGCGAAAGGAAGGATAAAATCTTGGCACTCTTACGTAATTATAGTGTGAGTTTGTGTGGGTCACTGATTACTAGCAAGATATCGCATTGTAAAAATTATCAAAATCAAAATAACGGATCCAACATAAGGCAGAAATAATATAAGGCTAGCAACAGGCTTTATTACGTTCTCCACAATTTCGTCCATAAGTTTGTCTAGTAAGCGCCCGAGTACTCTGTTCTGCACAGTGGTTTAAAGTTTATTTTGCTATTACTTGCTTATATATCTTTTGTTGCTCTTTATTCGTTCTTGCATCAAACATTGATCTTTACGCCTTCTATTGGTCTTATTGATATGTTCGCTACCTGACGTTCTTTATCATCGTATAGCTCATATTTTGT